TCTTTCTTTCTTTGGCAGTTTTGTAATGTCTTTAATTTCCTCCTAAAAGATAATAGTTTTATTGTTTTTTTTGAGACAACAATAAATTTAGAAAATATATAAAACCTACAAAAAAAATAAATAAAATTGTAATATACATTTGACATACACCATCTAACTACTTTGGATAAAAAAGATCAAAATATGTAATGCACATTTATTCAAACTATTCTCGCAATAGTGATAACGTATACATGCGAAAATTAAAGGAATGAATCTCTTATCTTAATAAATAAAGCTAAAATAATGTAATAAAACTCAGATTATTGTTATGACTTGTATTATAATAAAAAAAAAATTTTTTCCCATAAAGTCTGACAGCGATTCCTAGTTGATGTAGCGTTAATTGTCCTATTCCGCATAAAGGAACACTTATTTTTAGTTGTTGTACTCAATATCTTTAACCAGATAAATATTGCCTAAGCCTAGAAATTTCGATAACATATGTCTAGACCTTTATTCCTTCTACGAGCAGAATCTTCAGGGCTTGCGTATTATTATTATTCTGGATATAAAATATTGAATTAGCCGTTTTTAAAAAAATCGGCTCAAACAGAGCTGTTTAACAACAACATGCTGCTAGAACACAAGCTATTAATACGTACACGAATCCAAGAAGCCAAATTATTAACATATATTATAGTTAATCCAAATCGTTCTACAATAACATAAATAAACTAAACCAAAAAAAAAATTATATAAAAATTCCCCTTTTCCCTTTTTCTCTCTCTTTATCATTACATTTTCAATTTTACTATTTATATGAATATTTATATATATATATTTATTTACTAAAAATTTGCACATACCATTATCAATGACTATTTTTTATAAATTGTCCTTTAATTTTGCTTATTATTATAATTTAAACCTTTCAATTTACCCTTACAAATTTTCTATTCGAATTAACTTGTTTCTTCAAAATTGTAATTCGTTCTTTACACATATTCGACACATGTTACCCCATTTTTAGAAAGCTGCGATAGCCAAGAGGATTATGATATGATTGTCAATAGGTCCCAAAGATATTTCGTGTTATATATCAGTGTCCCGTAAATATATATAATAAATGACACACTATATTTCATTTTTTAAATAAAATTTTGGTGGGGCTTAATAATTTTTTATTTTTGACTTTGATAATAAACTTATTTTTCAAAAATTAATGTCCAATGAGTGTTTATTATGCAAAAAATGCTTTGTTAGAATAGACAAACGTACTTACAAGATTGGTATATGTAAGAGAGACGACATTATCTCTTCTCTTCTCTTCTCTTCTATTCTCTTCTCTTCTTCTTCTCTTCTCTTCTCTTCTCTTCTTCTTCTTCTTCTCTTCTCTTCTTCTTCTTCTTCTCTTCTCTTCTCTTCTCTTCTCTTCTCTTCTCTTCTCTTCTCTTCTCTTCTCTCTTCTCTTCTCTTCTCTTCTCTTCTCTCTTCTCTTCTCTTCTCTTCTCTTCTCTTCTCTTCTCTTCTCTTCTCTTCTCTTCTCTTCTCTTCTCTTCTCTTATATAAATACGATATTTATAACGTATCGTCGAATGAGAATTAGGTTATTTTCAATGACATGACTTACAATGCATTCATTAAAAGTGTACATCAATATAAAAACAGCTGGGGACGCCATTACCCATATCATTATTAAAAAATTTTAAATGAGAGGCCAATTTATTCATATGTTTGACGCAAACTTTATTAAAGAATAGCCTGATCGTCGAGGTAATAAGGAAGCAAAGTTATCAATTTAATAGTTAGTTTTTAACATGAGAATAATTACTATATGATGGGTTACAAAATGGCGGGTCCAGTTGATTTGCATTCAACGATGCTTTCATATGCTGCATTATTATGAATGCATCGTCGATTATAGCCAATATAAGGTTAACCATTTTATTGAAAACATTAGAAGCTTGATTAAAATTCCTCCCCTGTAAAATTACAAAAAAAAAGTGGAGATGGAATAATCCAATTCTCAGGCGATGGATATTTTATAAAATATAACCCGAAATGTTAATCTTGCTGTCAGATCATAGATATAATGTAATCGGTAGTAGTTAATAATCAAATTTTTCAAAAGTATAATTTACTTTAATTTATTATTTTACAAATTGTGACTAATTACTTTAACAACATTAATATATATATATCGTTAATATTTTAAGTAAATGAAATATATTTTTTTTTTGGGATTATGGCTATTTGTGCATATAATCATTCCTAACAAGTGTAATTAATTCCATCGTTTTCTATATTCTTTACGGTAATTTTAACAGTATTCTAAGTAGTTCACATCTTAGTTTTGTAAAATAATTACCTAAAATTGCTCACAAACAGAAATATGGAATCCATTTTGTATAAATTTCTTTCAGCATATTAAATGTTATTCAAATATATTTGCTAATTGTGTTAATATGAATAATTGATGTTTTTATATTGATTTGTAAAAGATATATAAACTGACAAAATGAATTACAAATATATAATAAATTTATTGATTGTTTTCACGATATTTCAGTTACTTGGAATGACAGGGCTGGCCTTCTTTATTTTAAGCATCAAGGCTCAGATCATAGTTGAACTAATTGGATTGATAGTTTTAATCCATCATGAATTATTGCTAAATCTTTTTAAAAGAATTGATAAAATTCCAGTTTTTACATGGGGCAGAAAAATATGAATTTGTTTTTTTAATAAAATTCTTGTGTGCTCTACAAAAGTGTTTTTTTTAAGACTCTCGAAGTCCACAAAATCTTTTACATAAGGACCATACTATTAGCGCAATTTCTTATAGAATTAGATATAAAAAGAAATGGCTGGTGGATTATGTTTAAATTTATTTTCATTACAATTGAATATTTTTGTAACAAATTCAGAACGCTTATATATAAATTATTGCAGCCAACTTTATTAGAAATGCATATATATATATATACATATATATATAAATTTCATTGTTTCATAATGGGCATCAAATGATTGAGTATAAATTAAGATTTTGGAAGTCAATATCAAGTGGGTACAACTCATACTCGAATACATCATTCACTTTTATAGTAATATTATTTCAAATGATATAATTTGTATGCAGCATGGCATGTATTTATTTGATTTTATTTTGATACATGTAAATTTAATAGGACAACCAAAAAAATTTTTTTTAAATACCTTAAAATGTGAAGTTCCCATCATTTTATCTTTAAATGTGTAAGATATTAATGTGGCATATTCTTTGAAAAATTTATTCATAATAATATATGGATTTTTACTTATTTAAAACTATAAATTGTTGCGATGGCAGACTTTGCAAACATTTCACAATATTTAATCTTTTGTTGCTATTATCTTATTTACAAAACATTTCATACTCATAAATAATATAAAAGTCTTTAAATAATCTCAATCTAAAAGCTATAGTAGAAAAATATATATTTTTTATTTTACCAATGTAGACCTTTGATTTTTGCATTTTTTCAGAATTGAAGTGAAACTAATTCAAGATTGAAATAAAAATCAGGGGAATACAAATTTATATTGAATTAAAACAACCTTAACGTCTTTTATGTATGCAGGTTTGTTTCATTTGATGTGTAGGATCATCTAATAAAATTTGAAAATTTATGATTATTATTAAAAAATATTGTTATCCTGATAAATGAAGACAATAAAATTAAATTATTAATTTTATTTTATATCTAAATTAAAAGTTTAATAATTATAATAAATATAACTTAATTAAGATAAAATTTATTAATGTTATCGAATAAATAGATATATAAAAATATAAAAACGAAAATGTATATAAATGAAAAGGTTAAAAAGTGCTTTCGAACTAAATAATCATTCTTTATATAATCAAAAAATAAAATAACACCGTAATGAATTAATAAATAATTATAATTCGCTTAGGAATAAACTTACAATTTGAGGAATATAATAAATCTAAACTGGGTAATAGATTTATAATAATCAAAATAAATATGCATATCATGTAATAAAGTATATTCAACGATCGCAATAATTATAAATAGATTAAATATAATATATATATATTTGATTTTTTAATACTTTGTTTAAAGGAAAATAATTATAATAATATTATAAAATCCCTTAAATTTTGTTATGATATATAGTTATTTAAATAAAATATGAATGCTTTTGTTTGATGAGGACTTTTTATTTAAAAATTTGGTGCTAATTTTAAAAAATAAATTGCTAATCCATTTTTTTTAAAATTGGGAATAAATTTTGAGAATGGGAGTACATTAGCATCAAAAGTTCCTAGCTAGCAAATCCCTGTTTAAGGAGTCTTTACTAGCATTGTGTAATCGACTAATTTTAAAAAATCGACAACGTATTAGATGAGTTTAGGGGGAAAAATGAAAAGTGAGCTAAAATTAATTTTAGACATCGGCTAAGGAGCTCGGCTAATCTTAATAAATATAAATAAAATATTCATATATAAATTATTTTAGTACATATAAATTAATAATAATCAAGGCTAGACTTATCTTAGATAACGCTGACAGACGACTAGTCAAGCTTTTTATACGTAGCCTAATTTTGACTACTAGGTTTTACCAATTTTTTTTAGTAAGTTTGGGGTTGTTAAACTCGGTTATTTTTAAATATTATTTTAGGCTATATTTCAATTTTAAATATCCAAAATGTTTAAAAATAGATTAAACTTACATTACAGGAATAAAAGATATAAAATAAGTAATATAAATAAAATATATATATTAATAATGATATGCGTTATACTGATTCCTTATATTTTTAGACATTAATGCTCCAAAACTATGACTTAAAGATTCATAAAATTTTAATATAATTTATTTATACTATTTATTTGAAGTGATAGACATTTAAATGCCTGAGTCGGCAGTTTAGATTTTTATTGGATAGTGTATATGCTATTTGCCGATGTTTTATATAGAGCAATCATTCGTTTAATCATATGATTTTTAAAATTGTCTACAATGTGACCAATGTGCCCTTTTATTTCCAAATTTGATATTAAAACTACTAGAAAGGGATGGTTACTGAACACGAGAAGGATAACTTGATATATGAAGAAATATCTATATCACATTATGCTGATATGTTACATGATTGTGATCGAGTAAAAATATAGATAATATAATTTTATAAATAGTAAAAGAATACTAAATACTATAAAGCTCTTAACCTAGCTGTCAAATATTTGAGAGAAAGAAAGAAAAAGGTGAATGTAGTAGATATTGGCTCTGGGACTGGGTTACTATCAATGATTGCTGCTTATTTAAATTCAGATTGTGTAATTACATTTGAGGTAAAAATATAATTTTTAAATTGTCTATATGCTTATAGGTTCTTAAACCCATGGCTAAATGTGCACAAAATATAATTGATATTAATAAGTATTCTGAAAAAATATCATTATTCAATGAACATTCAATAAAATATGATAAATGTAATTTAATAATTTTATATTTTGATTTATGATATAGTTTTAGTCAGTTTTCCAATAATTAGTAAAAATATTTTTCCAAATATTGTGGTCAGTGAAATATTCGATTCAGAATTAATTGGTGAAGGCATTATTCCTACTATTAATCATGCGATTAAACATCTAATTAATAAAAATAGTGCACTTTCTTCACAGATCACTGAAACAATTATGATACCATCGTCTGCAGTTATACATGGATTATTATTGCAATCCCACAATTTGTCCTCCTTTAATAAATTATCAATTAAAAATATCAAATTTCCAGATCAATTTGTTAACTGTAGTGGAATTAATTGTGTACCTTTGCAAATTCAAATGGCTAAATTAATTCAAGGAGAAGATTACAATGTTATTACTCAGCCCCTCAAATTATTTAAGTAAAATTATCTTGATCAACAAAAGATTTAAAATTATTCTTTTTTTTTTCAACTTTAGTTTTGCTTATATATTTTTTATAATTTATTTAAGATTCGATTTTAATCGCCAATTACCAAACAACGAAGTGAATTACATTGACATGCAACTCATTGAATCTGGCACGTGCGATTGTTTATTAGTATGGTGGGAATTAGATCTGCTACCGGATCATATCTTATCAGATAAAACAAATGATTATTCAAATTTGTTGGTCAAAAGAATGTGTAACGTGATAAATACAGGACCACCTCAAATTGGAGATAAATTAAATCAGCATTACCATGTACGTAAGAATAAATAATTGAGATAAAAATAGTTGGGGGTGCCAACTAAGGCTAGGTAGGAATAGAGTTATAAAAAACGTGATCCAACCCAAAAACCAAACCCATAGGTCAGTAAATTTTTATTATTATTTTCTTATTTGGGTTAAGTCAGGTTGGAAAATTTTTTTTGCCATTGCCACTTGATAAAATCTTTACTTCCTTATAGGTTGGGTTTAAAATAATTTTTCCTCTTGCAATAACGGGAACAAAATGTATACGAGCAAAATCTTAAGACCTGCATAATATTTTTCCTAATTAAATAATTGACAGCCGTTTTTTAAAAATCGGCTAAATAATCTAGTCCTTTAACAACACTACAAATTAGCTTTGCCAGACCACGTTTTTGTGTAGGCGGAGGAAGTAAACCGACAAAAATGAATTCGCAACTTTGTTCAGCTTAGGACGGAGGTTAAAGATATAATAGATCAGAATAAATATCTCGAATCACAAGGAAATTCCATGTCCCAATTTGATTGACAGTGGTCATATCTTTAATTTTGACGATTAAGATCCTAATGACAGATTCTTTTCTTTTTTTAAAGAAACTTATTTCCGATAATAATAAGAATTTTTTTCTAGGAAATATCGTGGGCGATGCCAGAAATTCCACGTGGCAAGTTTTTTCGACCCGGCCCGACCTGTAGTTATAAACGGTTTTCCCGACCCCACCCCAGCATAAAATGATTTTTCCATACCCGACTCACTTGCGGACTCTTAGAATGAATACACTTGCTTTAATATTTATGCTAGAGTCCTCTGGCCGGATGTAACATACTTTATTCTTCCATTTTTTTCCAAGGATTTATCTAAGTGTCCAAAAAATAATTCTAGAAAATTTCAAAAATTTTACATACGATTTTCATTAAAATTTAAAAACTTTTGAAAGTTTTAAAACTTTCCGTAATTTTTTAAAAAAAGATTTTGGACATAGAAAGAATTATATTATAAGATTTTTTTATTTGTTACAATTAACACTTGACGAAACAAGTGGAGAGATCATTGGCTGCAAGTCTTGTATTTCTTCGCCAATCCGAAAACTCTGCGAGGAACTAAGGGACAGCGATTGACACTCGCCTGTCACAGGGATCAATACAGTATGTGGTTCGATATCCTCGACAGCGGCGAACCAATGTTGGAAGGAGTGGACTCCCGCGTCGCGAATTCTTATGACACGTGCTGTAATTGCTATTTCCATTTGGCTTATAATAGGCGCCGGATGGCTTACCTGAACGAAGCGAATTCCAATTTTTACAAACTCGTCGATTACTTGAAGCGAATGGTAATCAATACATTATACGATCATTTATTCCTAGGAATATCCGCTGTAGGTGGGGGGGGCGAGGGGGTTTAGCAAATTCAGAACTCGGTTAGACCCGAAAGTTTTAGCAAATTTGTATACAAGCGCTTTTTTTAAAATTTTTTGAAAATCATGACTTAGCCGGAATCTTATTCCAGCGTCGAATATGAAAAGTAATAAGAGATTTTCTGATGTAATTTAATGTATATGTTAGCTGCGTCAATGTGTTTTTTCTGGCAATGTGCTATTTTTATCAACTTTAAATCGTTTTTTTGATCGCGTTTTTTTGATCGCGTTTTTTGATCGCGTTTTTTTGATCGCGTTTTTTTGATCGCGTTTTTTTGATCGCGTTTTTTTTAAATTTAAAAATCCGATTTTGCCGGATGTGTATGCCGCCGTCATGTTTGGAATTTACCTACCCTATAAATATTCGGCAATTTTTCCATCGAACTTTAGAAAACGTAATATAAATTTATATTAAATTTTCCATATACTTTTTTTTTAAAATATAAATTATAAATGAACTCAAAAGGTTAACTGCAAAATTGTTATACATATTCGTAATCTTGGCATTCCAAACATGGCGGCATACATTTCCGGTTAAAATTAGATTTTTTTTTTTTTAAATTTAAAAAATAAAAAACGCTTTTCAAAAAAAAAGATTTAAAGTTGAAAGAATATGTAAAAAATTGAAAATAAAATGGCTAAAAATGGAGATGGGGTACCCTGAATTAGAGATATACAAATGGTCAGGTCGGGCCTTGGATTTTTTTAAAAATTTATCAATTTTTTATTAATTTTTTTTTACGTGTAAAATAAAATTATTTTATTTTATTCTATAGAAAGTAGATGCCATAATGTAACATATCATGTCATTTATTTTGAGTAATTATAAAAAAATTAATTTCTATATTCGGGGCGGGTCGAGCCGGTAAAGCTTTTTTTAAAAAATTTCGGGTTCGGGCCGGGCCGGTTTTAGGCCCGATGCAGATCACTACCCTAAATAATCATTATTTGTTAAAATATAACCCTGCACCCTACATATCTAATGCGTTATTGTCTAATAAGCCTCCCCATCCCCTTCCACATGGTAAAGCACAATAGTATACAAATTATAATGCCTAACTGCCAAAAATTCCGAAAGGAAAAAAAAAATTAAGGTTTTTTTCAATAAAATTTAAATTTTTTTATTTTTAAATAAACATATATTCTTTTTGGTGTAAATAAATAACCATTGGTTATTCTGGTAAAATTTTTTTCTACAGTATAATATCAAATTTTAAATATGGTATAATAACGGCCGATAAATATTCTATTAATTCGAATATAAATGACACGTAATACTCTTAGTAGCTATAATAATGGCTATTGTGATGATGATGATGATGACTTTTATGGTGATGACTCTTATCCCGTCTTCCTCGAATCCTTTCATAGGCTAAGCTCCTCTTAGCACCCAATTCTCTCCTTCCCCGACTTGTAAAGCTGCTATACTCGTTCGAATCTTCCATTAAATTTACTTTGGATTCAGATTTTTCCACGTTGGAATTCAACACATGGGATTTCAAGATGTAGCAGTTGATCAAACTGAATAGCGTAACCCATACTCCCAAATATTAAAAATTTTTTTTTTACAAATGAATGATGATTCAACTAATTAATTACTTTCAAACATTTTTGAATAAGAAATTTTTAAATCTAATAATAAAAATAATCTCTTTTATATGTTTAATAACTTACCATAAATTTAGATGTGTGAAACATTTTCGTATGATCAAAATTATGTATTATTACTCATTATCAGTGATCTGCATCGGACCTAACTTTTAAAACCCGGCCCGATGCCGGCCCGAACCCGAAATTTATTTTTAAAAAATTTACCGACCCGGCCCGGCCCGAATTTATTTAAATATAGAAATTAATTTTTATAATGACTTAAGAATAAAATATGTTGTATAGCGTTTTAGTTTCTTATAAATTAAATCAAAAATATGTATTTTACATAAAAAATTCGATTTGTAAAATCGATAAATTTAGATATATTTAAAAATATTAGGCCCGGCCCGAACCCAATTATTTTAAATCGGACCGGGTGTTCGAGTCGGGCCTAACTTTGCAGATCTCTACTTATTATAACAATATCAATAATATGTTAAAAAAAATAGATATTAATTTGACTTTATAATTAACCTTCATTCACGAATATTTGCCAGCTCATATACCCAATAGTGTTGTTGACGGCTCGTTTTGAGCCGATTTTCAAAGACGGCTAACTCAATATTTTATCCGGTAAAATATTTGCTAAGCCTCACGATTCCGCTAATAGATGTCCAAACCTTTGTTTCTTCTACAAACAAAATCTTCAGGTTTGCGTAATATAATATTATTCTGGATGAAATATTGAGTTAGCCGTTTTTAAAAATCGGCTAAAAACGAGCCGTTTAACAACACTAATACCCATATATTTGTTTCGCCTTTGTATGACACGTTATTTGATTGATTAAAACTACAAATCATTCAAAATTAATTAATTTTTTTATTTTCGAATCCAAAAAAATAAATAAATGTACCAATTTTTGCGATTAGTTTTCAAAATTATTGTGCCCCCCCCCCACCCATCCCACTTCCCAAAAAGGGTTAATCTAGTTGTAAAAAGTCCGTGTTGTTAAAAAGCAAAAAAAAACGGCCCAATTATGATAATAACCAAAAATAACATTATGTATATGCCTAAAGATTTCGCAAGTAGCCAGCTTTGCAGAAATGCTTGGACATCCTATATGTTAAATGCCAATGCTTACATAATATTATTTTAAACAAAATGTATTCTCAAGAGATTATACCATTTCTTATTCTTACAATTTTTTTAAAAAATAATATGTAAGCTTATCTGCTAACGGTATCCGTTATTACCTATTTGATGAAATTAAATAGATATCAACAGTGTTTTTTTTTTGAGGAGGTCTCCAGAGGTAAGGGCTAGTAGGAATTGAGTTTTGCCGTTTCAGCATTTAGATTGGCATATTAATTACATCCTTTGTGGCGGGTTATGGGGATTACGTTATTGTTTGTTGGCGATCGATCGGCATCATGTCTTAAATTATATGTCGATTTTTCGTTTATTGAAAAAAAAAAATAAAAATACCCTTAAATTTTATAGCGATTTTTCGACAATATCCGGTCTTTTCAAAATTTTAAAAACAAAAATGCGCGCGAAAAATTATTTAAAATTTTTATAAAATATATATGTATCGATGATAACCCGGGTCATTGAAACGTAAAAGCCCTTAATCGTTTAAAACATCTGATAGTTAGCGCGAATTCAAGGCGAAGTGTACAAAATATGATGTATTATTTGTGCGTTATTTTATATACTTCGCCGCGTATTCGCGCATGCGTGGTTAGACTCGACTCTTATAAAAAAAAATTATTAGAGCTTAAATGGGGGAGTGAAGGCGAGGAGGAACTTTTTCTCCAATCATATTCGAGCCTTGATTGGACCGTTGAAGCTGATCACGTGATAACATTTTGTGGAGTATTAACAAAAAATACTTGGCTTTTTATATTATATTAATTTTTATATATATATAAAAGAAATTTGACGAGAACGCCACCTTCATCGTCATATCGGACGGATCCTTATTGCCTATATACCTTGCTCACTTCTACCCCGGATCGAAAGTAACTGACAAATTTTAGATTTTTTTAAAAAAAATACGAATACCTTTAACCTTAAGGTTTATGACCTAAATATATATTTTTTTTAAAATATCGAAAATTTGTACTCTTGTAACTTTATAAAATTATAAAACATATCCAGTGATGTTAAATGGTTCGATTTTAGCCTATTTTTAGGAACGGCTAATCTCAATTTTAGCCAAAAAAATATTGCCTAAGTCTAAAGATTCTGCTCATAGAAGGAACAAAGGTCTAGACATATATTATCGAAATTTCGAGGCTTAAGGCAATATTTTTTTTGGCCAATATATTGAGACAGCTGTTTAACAAAACTAATACTAAGTGTTATTCAGAGATCTCGTTAATAGGTGTTCAAACCTTTGCGCAATTTGTGGTGCTAGATCTCAAGGCTTGCATAATATTTTTCAGGATTAAATATTGAGTTAGCCGTTCCTAAAAATCGGCTCAAAATGAACCCATGTAACAATAGTAAACATGTCCCAAAAATCTTGGCTAGTGTTAGATGGATATGGGGCAGATTTCAACATTATATCGATTGGTAAACGACGACCATTTTTTTTTTTTAAAAAATAAAAAGATTCATTATTAACGAAATCACGTGGTCGAGTCCGCTACGTATCGTTCCCGCCCTAGTAAGGACCACCTTAATTGACTTCAAGAAAAAAAAAATCATGGTTCTTGGTTGATTCGAACCCAGAACTATCGGATCTGAGATACGCGCACTCATCCGACGCGTTCTTCGAAATTGACTATTTTTTTTTAAAAAAAAATATGAAAATATTATTATTAATAGCCATTGGTTATCTCGAGTGTATCAAATGTTGGGTGTGGTTCAATATCGCCACCGTAACGTTATTTAACATTCAACCTAGAAACCTTCCCTAACGATTTTTTTAAAAAAGTTTTGTAAATTTTTTTAAAATTTATAAATTCCCGCCAAATTAATTTTTTTTAAAATTTCTCTAATTAGAAAAAAATTTAATAAACTTACAGAACCTCCATTTTATTTTTACGTTAAAAATAGTTCATTTCGAAGTATATTTTTTTTGGTATTGGGTCGCACAGCCTAATTCAAAGATTTAGAATCTCTGAAATATTTTTAAATAAGTAGATCCGAATTCTGTTTCCGCTATCCAAGCTGATATGTGAAATCCTATTGGTATTCCAAATCTTTCAATTTTAAATCCATTTACTGTGTGTGGATTTTTTTAAATTTCAAAAATATGATCTGACTGAAGTTTAGACTATTTTGCCTGTTTAACTTTTAAAGTATTCTTTAAATATTAATTCAAAAATTACATAAATGTATATTGGTTGAAAATTGCCTTATTTTTTTGTGCTGGAATGCATATCCGGTCAAATCAGGTGTTTTCCAAATTTAAAAATCTCTCTTCTCAGTGAGACATGAAATTATAGAGATCCCGAAGGTCCATGGATTCCTTATCTCAATACGATATATAGTATATGTTGGCGTGTCAGTCAATGCCTTCTTTTTTATTCAAATTTTCGCGCGTTTTTTATAAATCGAAAAAAAATCTGATTTTAACCGGAAATATAATCCGACATGTTTAGAAAGAATCACGAAATTATAATTCCCTAGGAAAAATAAAACAAATTCTGTGGGATTTTTTTTCAAGGGAATTTTCTCTCCGCATATCATTTTATTTGTTTTTCCATAGATATTTTTTTAAAAAATATAAATTATAAATGGCCCAAAAATTTAGGAACATAATTGTCCAAAATTTACTGGGTAGATATTCTTAACATGCTGGAATTCCGGAATAAAAAATAGGTGTTCTTGAATTTAAGATAGGGTTATAGTTGAAATATTGACGCTGATGTATATATAAATTACGTTCTGGGACTTCTAAATTTGTCACTGTATTTGGTTCTCTTACTCAAAACAATCATGTTCAGAGGTTTTGGGCGAAGTTTCACCCTGAAATATTTGGCCCATGCACATCCCCTGACGATGATTAGGTTTCTTAGGAAATATTTAATAAATGTGCCCTTTACAGCTGACTCGTCGGAGTGACACGGGATAGATATCGGCGAATGTTAGATTCGTAAAATCAAATTTGTTTGCTTCTTTTTTTCTTATTATTAAGAATAAAAAGAGTGGTTTTGAAGGATATAGTGGTTGTACCGTAGTGTTGTTAAACGGCTCTAACTCAATGTTTTAGCCAGAAAAATATTGCCCCCTCCAGATTTCGATGATATATGTCTGGACCTTAGTTCCTTTCTATGAGCAAAATCTTCAGGGCTTTCGTAAGATTTTTCTGGATGAAATATTTAGCGAGCCGTTTTTAAAAATCGGCTCAAAACCGGCCGTTTAACAACACTACTGTTGTGTTGCGTTGATAAATATCGCGGAAGGGTGAGATAATTTTTTTTGTTTTAAAAACAAAAAATTGCTCGTTTCTTAAAAGTCATACGTTATGGATGGTGGGAGAAACCAATTTTGTACGAAAGCATTTAAGGATTTGATTTCGTGCAATGGATTGAAGGACAGGATTACCGTGCTGACCAAGGATCCTGCCCAACTTGCTCGCGAGGATTTCGGGGAAGACCTAACTAAAGTGAACATACATTTATTATTTTATTTATTTTCTTCACGGATTTTAGCGAATTCATGATTGTGCTTGATTTGATCAGTGTTTTTTTCTTGGGGGAGGGAGTGGGTGAATTTTTAATAACTAAATTTTGAATTTCGCCGGAAGTGCACGTATTACTTAATCCTGTGATTTCAATAGCAATTCTACCACGGAATCTTTGAAATGAACGATTTAAAAAAGCGATAATTTAACAATGCCGCGAGCTATAAGTTATGAGCAACAACTAATTTGCATTACGCTAATTTAATAAAATTAATCTTATAAAACTAACGGTAATTATTTGCGATCATTGGAGTCAGTCAGCATATTTAAGTTCTATTTCAAAAAAAAATGTATTTGATTTTGTACAAGAGAAATATGAATATTGATGGAATTTTAAATAAATCAGCTGTGCTAACGGCAGTGCGAAATATCGCGAAAACCCCTGACTTAAGACTAAAACCAAACGCCACCACATTATTTATACAATATGTTTAACGCAATCCAATCGTCTTATTTTTATTTTTTAAAAATATAACAAATAATTTTTTAACTGGCACCGCCTTGAAACAGAAAGAAAGGGGAGAAAGAAAGAAAGAAAGAAAGAAAGAAAGAAAGAATGAGACATAGAAAGAACAGATTTTGTGTCATTCGATTACGAAACACTTGAGCATATTTTTGAAATTCTATTTTTTTATCACGTAAAAATAGGTTGGGACACGATATTCCTACGGGAAAAGGAAATTTGGTTTTCTTCCGTAACTTAAATCAGCCCTACCGTATCTTAATTTTTTTTTTAAAAATCTTCTAATGACATCCATATCTAAGTAATTGACAGCGGTCAGTTATTAATTTTATGAGCATTTTAAGAAAAATAAGAATAATTGGTAGAAATCGAAGATGTGAACGAGTGTCCGGCACAATCACGTGACGCCTAGAACGGAAAGAAAGATGGATTTTAACAAAAAAGTAATAATGTTATAAAATATGTTTAGATCGATGCCATCTTGGGAGAACCGTACTTCGTTTCGTCTTTGTTCCCTTGGGACGACCTCTATTTCTATTATTGCCTCTTGGAGCTGATCTATCAACCTTCCCTGCGTTCCCTCTTTAATTTTGACCACGAATGTCGCCATAAAAGTTTAATATATATATATATTTTTAGGGATTAATGATACACAAAGACTGCAGGCCCGGCCCTAACTCCGGACTTTAACTAGCCATTATTCGCTATAAAAATCAAAAATAAATATAAATATATTTTTAAAAAAAAAAATCCGGGCCGGGCCCGATAATATAAAACCCGGGTTGGGCCGGAAAAAATTTTTTGAAAAAAACCCGTCCGAGCCGGGCCGTACAAATGGTACCCTGCAGGTCTCTGATGATACATTTTTGGTTATATATAATGATAAAAACATAATTTGTCCATTAAAGGAAAAGATGCTGCAAATATTTATTTAGGGTAAACCCGGGGTCTAGCCAGCAAATTTCGTATGGTGGGCGGAAGAGCATTTTTTGAATATTAGCATATTGGATCAACGAGTAAATTTACAGTTGGAACCTTGTTCCTTGATGACCTGGCCCATGAATCCTATTAAATCTTGATATCATATATCAAAAAAAGTGTTGTCGTTGAAGCAGTTGTTTATCCTTTTTTAAAAACCTTGTTTCAAAAGGCGAGCCAAATATCTCCTAAGATATTCTCCAAAGAAAGAACCTCTTCTTCTCTTTCTCCGTTTTATGGCGAATTCCAGGTTTACCCAGGTAGGCCAATTTTCCCTCTGATTTTTTTTCCCCATCTTTGACCTTCCTGAGAATCAACATTTGTAAGATTCGTACATCTCATATCCGCCGCTATCACATCGGTCCACGTCATCTTGGGCTTTCCTCTAGGTCTTGATCCTCCTACTTCCATGAAGGTGCATCTCTGAGAACGAAAGGAAGAAGAAAAAAAGAGAAAGAAATAAATTAAAAGAAATAGAAATGAAGAAAAATTATAAATTCTTCTTTTTTTTTAAAATAAATTTATTATTTTAAATAATATCGAAAGCTATCGTATTCCCTCTTTCGGCCAAACTCAAAGCCGTGGCCGTTAACTTCAAGGAGCTCTGGAAAACCAAGGCCCCCGTTTATCCTCACCAACTTTTTTCGAAAGACGACGATGAAATGGCGGTTGATGACGACAGCGATGTTAAAGCGGATACGGATCAATACAAACCGTTTCCGAAATTCGATATGTCACCCTTCAACGAAATGATGGTTATTTTATTAGAATTATAATTATGCAAAAAATATGAACAGCCAGCGAATCACTTGACGTGCATTTGTCATAAGATTCGATGAGTAACACCACAAATAAAAATAACGGAAACCGGGTCGTTTATAATACCTATCAGAGAAATTGTATTAATAATGTCATGTCACTCATGTTTATTCTAAACAAAGATTAATTCGGCTAAATAACTGATCTATTCCCCCCCCCATCCCCAGATACTGGAATATCTTAGAGAAGAATCATCCATTTTGAGCTTTGCCGCCAAAACATTTGTGCACATTATTTCCCAATCAAAATCTAGCATTAATTTGGCCAAGAAAATTAAATAGCGATTAAAAATGATTATTCAAAAAAATAAATATTTTTGAACATCACGTGACCGCCTCGAGGTTTAGAAAATAATGTTTATTTGTTCACAAAAAAAAAAAATTGACACGACATTTTATAAAACTACATCTTCGATACAAACTATACGATTTATTTGATTTAAAATATCAATTTATTTATTTTAGATTATTAATTTAAATATCAATTTATTTAATTTACTAAGACCGCGATATTAGCCTATAAAGAAATTTTAAAATAAGTTCTCTTACCAATAATTATACCAGTTTTTGATTCACCCTTTTCTTGTTTTTTATAACTTGAAACTCGAAAATTTAAAAATATTAAATACACACGGCATAAAAAAGAAACGAATAAATCAATAACCATAATTTTTGGAATTTAATTTTTCTTAATTTTCCTCAACCGCCGCAACTTTTAATGTTGCGTACACTTACAACATTACGAATCTGGTATTTGCGTTATTCGTATTTGACTCATATTTTCGAATCGAATAATTGTAGCCCCCCCATGGGTATTGTTAAACGGCGCTCGTTTTGAGCCGATTTTTAAAAACGGCTAACTCAATACATCATCCAGAATAATATTACGCAAGCCCTGAAGATTTTCTTTGTAGAAGGAACAAAGGTTTTGGACACCTTTCAGCGGAAGTTCTAGGCTAAGGCGATATTTTTCAGGCTAAAATATTGAGTTAGCCGGTTTTAAAAAACCGACTCAATACGAGCCGATTAACAACACTACCCATGGGACATATGAATATTTATTTTTTTTTTGTAAAATTCATTTATTATTCCTTATATCACATCTTAAAAAAAATGTTTCAAAGTATAAATAATAGGATCCGTAATATATCATTACCCCCCCCCCCCCCTCCCCCCATAGTTTTAAGAAGGGACAAATGAATTGATCAAAACCAAATTTTGATAATGTGGGCAGTCTTAAACCTTTTCATAATTTGAAAAAAAAAACATATATTTAGTTCCAGCGTTAGACCAAAAAATTCTTCGATTATTTTGTAACTTTTTTCCAAATTTATTAACAATTCCCGCCACCTTATTCACTTCCGGTATACTTACGATGGGTAAAATTACATTAATCAAATCTTGACGACTAAGAAACCTATTTAATAACTATTATCGTTTTATGGTGGAAAAAAAAGGAAGGTTATTTAGAAAATTAGATATTAAATATTTATATTCCCCCCCCCCCCATTCTAAGTTATCTTTATCCTGATCGTCTAATCATTCGCTTGATCATCATCATCACTAGCCTGTTCATCTCGTTCATACGTTATCACTCTTCTCCGTTTAATGGCGATCTCCAGGTTTTACCCAGGTTGGCCAGTTTTCCCTGATTTAATCATTAGGAAATTTTTTAACAAGCTTTTTACAATCGGATGCCCTTCCTGACATCAATCCCCTTTAGCTGGTTTTTACACCCTGTCGAGGATACGGTGATCCTATTCTAGACCTAGACCGCAGGGAAACTTTTAGACTTCCATTAGCCGCCAAAAGAATCGGTGCCTGGTCAGGCCTAAAATGTATTGCGCAATTAAGGAAGGGTGGTGGGATATCAGATGTTATTACTTCTTCTTTTTTTCTAGGGTGGTTAATTTTTTTTAGGAAGTATCTTGTTTCAGAGTCTCCTGAATATATGAGCCACTTATGGAGAAGTAAAAAAAATGTATCCATTGAAAAATAAATTATGTCCCATAGAAAATGGCGTCCATCATCAAGAATTACCCGTCTCGTAAATCCGAAATCGAAAAAATGGACACCGTTACGCTCATGAATACCAGAACGTTCACTATGGACTCCAATAACTTATGGGAATACGAATTCGACGCGGTTTCGTCCGCGTACGACGTCTTTTCTTTCGACGCGAACACTGTCGAAGAGGGCACGGAAACCGGCAGAAAAGGCGACAAGATGAGGAATGCCTTGACTTTCAAAATCGGGGAGGGCCAAAGGTTTTCTATCGTTTACAATGATTTATTTGAGGGGTGGGTGTGTATATTATATCTAAAAAATCTGAGAAGTAATTTAATTACAATTATTTGGTTAATTCCCTAATAAGTTCTCTAAATTACAAATTAAGATCACTTCCAGATTAGAGCATTTATTTTATATATTTAGTTTATGTAGATAGAGCGGAAATATATATTTATATATTTTTTTGAATAAAACTATCAAAAAAATTAGCTTTATATAAATATAAATTTTTTTCGTAAACATTTGATTCTTTTATAAAAAATTGGCTATTATTTTTGATATCGTTTTTTGTAATATCCTTATGTCTATTAATGATACTCTTTATCATATTAACTGGGTTAAAGTTCGAAATAACTAAAAAGAAAGCATCTGTATCATTATTAAAATTCCATTTAAAGTGGTTAAAAAATTTTTTTAAAGACATTCCGATATAAATAATATTTTTTTGGATTTTGTGAAAAATGAATTATTTTACTCAAAATTTGATTTCATGCGTACATACTAATAGCGTGAATGGCGTCATACTCTATATGAACTATTATGGTATCTCCGACACGACCCCGCAACCGGATACGCGTCTCGTTATAGACAACGGCTTCGCCGTTAAAGGGGATTCTCACAACCGCAGCAACCCCGTAAAGTGGAAGAGTAAACACGTGAGGCAGGGTTACGCCCTCTTGAATCCGCCTTACCTAGCGGACGCTATCAAAAAGGATGATTTAAAGATTGAACTCAAATTTACTTTCGATTTTAATTCCGGCGAATTGTGCATCGGGGAATGATGAGTCTTAAAGAAAAAGATGCATTTTTTTTTGTTTATTAAATCCATGTTTTTTTTTAATGCCAAAAAAAAAATTGAAATTAATTCGCTATTCTAATGTATTGTATTGTATTAACAAAACTCTGTTTTATTTAAATAGTATTTTTTGGACTTGTAATAGATAGACCCTTAAAATTGTTTTAAAATTATATATATATGCTGAAGAAGGGTGGATTCGTGAATAAATGGAAAATTGGTCATGAAGTGTTTTTAAGCCTTGCTTAAAAAAAACTTATTATTTTGTTGCTCAGACTCGCGTATTTTTATTGTTAGTTACTGGAACTTTTACGTACCAACCTGGATGGAGTGGGGTCGGGTGAGGGATTCGGGAGGTAGGTTATAGGGACTCGTTGACCTAACCACCGCACTCTTGTTATACGGGAAATAAAACCCGATTGTTTGCCTAGGAAATTTTGCTCTTAAAAGTATAATATACTGGAAAAAAAAAATTTCAATTACGTTTATACAGATACAAATTTGTTTGCCTTGAAATTCTATAAAACATATTAGTATTGTTAAATTACCTAGTCTAAAAAAAATTAATTTAAGCATCTAATTTTTGGATAAAAATTATGGCTACGTTGTTTTATAGTTGACTAAAGTTAGTTAGTTTAACAACACTAAAACATATATTATGAGAACAGGGTTATACCTTTTCTTTAAAAACAAAATTGAGTGTGTTACATAGCGCCTATCCATAAAATGATTATTTCACTCACTAACATGTTCCCTAAAAAAATAACGTAGGGAGATTTTTCAAAAAAAAACGCATTCATTTGGGTAGCGTGTAATTCTCGGCGTAGGCGTCTCCGAATTACTTTCTCCCGCGATTACGCAAGTTCCGGAAACAGTTTTTTAAATGTCATACGAGCGAATTACTTCTAAGAATATTTTTATCGCTCGCTTTTATCTTAAAAAAATTTTTTTTTTGAGATTTATAATAAAAAATATTAATAAATAAACTAAAATTAGATTTCAAGCTAATTTTTAATAAAAAAAAATAGGATACAATTTTATTTCCAAAAATTATAAACTTTCGTAAATTTCACGTTTATATTTTTCACATTATTTACATTATCCGTTGTAGTATGTTACATATAAACACAACTAATAATTGTATTGATTCAATATCATGGGGTATTATAATGATTGTTAATTACTATCTCTATATATGTATAAAAATAATTTGTCGATTAATTTATGTTTGAGCGAATCCAAGCCAAAAAGTTCGATACTTTTGTATAGACACCGGGCTTGCCGGCCTGGGCACAGCTAAACCCCCAAGATACTATCCCGCTCAATGTTGGCTTAAAGTCGTCACCCAAAAGACACACTAATGGACCACCTGAATCTCCCTTTAAAAAATATATATATATATCAATCTTAGAAAATTTAGATTTGTAATGACAAAAAAAGAGCTTAGAATTTTAAATAAGTGGTAAAATTCTATCACCCCTCCCCCCCCCCATCCTTCCATGATTTATCAAATTATTTAGGAAGCATTTACATTAAAGACCTATATCTCCGCATTTGCTATAAATTAGTTATTAATCTTTTAAAAAATAAAAATATTTTTTTTTGTTTCCTGTAACATACATATCTAGTGTTGTTAATTTGGTTGGTTATGTAAAACCAAGACCCGGGGTTGGTGTATGAAGTATTTTTTTAAAAAAAAAATAAGGAAAGTATGGGTTGGGACCTAGATGACCATTATTACAAAATAAAACCCTATATTCCTAATTATATTGCATCATTATCACTCCAAAAAAAAATTTAATATATTTTTATTTTCGATGGTCGAATCGTGAATTGTACGATTAAAAATTGTATTTGCTGGCTTTTGTTTACACGCCACTAATTATATATATACAATGACATATAATAAAACCTAGACTGACAATGCCTTTCATAATTACGCATTTGAAGCGTGTCGTTGAATGCAAATCAGCTGGTCCGGCCATTTTGGTAACCCATATAATAATTATACTCATGTTAAAAACTACTATTAAATTGATAGACGATCAGACAATTCTTTAATAAAGTTTACGTCAGACATAGGAAATAAATTTGGCCTCTCGTTTAAAAATTTTTTAAATAATGATATGGGTACCCAAAATGGCGTCCCCAGCTGTTTTTCATTGAGATGAACAACTTTTAATGAAGGCATCGTCAGTCTAGGTATTATTATATGCCGGACCCCTGTCTTATGAGAAATATTTTTGTATACATTGTGTTATACAGAAACTAACGAGGAAACGATTTTTGAAAATAAATTTTAAAAATAAATGGATTAAAGGGGAAATGTTACTCTGCAGGAATCGATCCCGCCAAAATCCTCGCCGGCGCAAAACATATTGTTAGTTATAGCCCCGTTATAATAGTCGCTGCCATTGCAAGTGGCGCTCGAAATCGAGGGTAAGCACACTTCGTTCAATACGTCGGAATCGCCAAAACCTGAAAAACACAGAATTTTCATTTTCTTTTACTATATATATATATATATTAGTATAGTGTTTGTTTAAAAAGTCCGATTTTAGATGATAACCACAATTGATACTATGGAAGCCTGGAGATTTTGCTAATAGAAGGGCAGAAAGGTTTGGGCATCTATTTGCTATTTGTGAGTTAAAATCTTTAAACTGGTGGTTTTTAAAAAATCAACCCAAATCTATCCTTTTTAAGCTACATCTAGTATTAGTGAACTGCTTAGAAGCCTAAATTTGTAAACCAGGCCATCTCGAACTAATTTTATATTTATTCATCACGAAAAAGCCATGCCAGAATATATTTTAACTATAGAAAAATTTAAATATTTTATTTTTAAAAATTATATTCAACAAAATAAAAAATATTGACGCCTTTGTTTTTTATAAAAAAATTTTTTTTTTAGCCCTGTCAGAATCTTTTTTTCGAATATCATATTTTTTAGCGGACCTAGACCAGACCTAGTTTTTTTATTGGGTTGGGTTATTACCTTAAATAATCAAATAAATAAATTTAGCTCTTTGAAAACAGTTGCTGACTTAAAAGAAATATTGCCTCTTTTTTTTTCTTCTTATAAATAATAAAAAATTTCAGCATCTTAAACAATATAATTGCCTTAAATATACTTAATTGTTTATATATTTTTTTTATTTAAATACAATAAATTAAATTTTCATAATATGAGTGACCTGGATTAGGAAATTTTTTTGAAAATTATTATGGGCTTAGGTATTTTTTTAAATATTAGATATTGGCCGGACCGTAACCTAAAAACTTACTTTACTGCGAGCTTGGTCAAAAAATTAAGGCCCATGAAGGTTTCTGCTATGTATACCAAAGTGTTTTTTGTTTACATCTATTTTTGAAGCGATTATCTAGCGTATAACTTAGGAAAACTAGAAAGTAAAAATGAAATATAACAGCTTTTGGACAATGGCATTCATTTCCTAAATCTTTACAAGTTCGTGCATCAATATTTACACATTTTTATTTGGGTCCTAACGTGAATCTAGCGGCGCGAACGCGATGTCGGGTTGCGCATATAATTTTTTAAGTAAAATAAATTTTCCCTTAAAAGATCTTCAATATTTTATGAGTAATATAAGAGTCACTCATCTCACTACTTAAAGAACAATTTTGTATATAAATAGGTAGGGAGGTGATATTTAAGAAAATATTAAAATTATCGTAAATAAAAAAAAAATGATGATATAATATAGCATCGTAAACCTTGAGTATCACCCCATCCAGCTGTGCAGCAATACGAATATTCTGGCAATTCCTTTTCAGCTAACGGCAATTTAGCCGGTTTTATCCTATCCGTAAATATAACCTATATGCACATAATTTAAAAAAAAACAAATTTAATTACTAATTATATACTATCAAATTAAGTTTATAAAAATATTTCATCAGCTGGACCAGCTTATGAAAAACGCTTCTTTATCACGTATCTGAAAAGGAACTATAAATTATTTCAGAGCGTTCCAGATGATGCGGAAGTTACTCTCTTAACAGATACTTTTGCTCGTTTATTTGGGATTAAAAATCAATCTCGAAAACTTTTTTTTCTTTCGTATATCAAATCTGAAATATTGTATTATATATATATACCAGGGATAAGAACACTTCGACAAATAAAATAGGGTTCGGTTTTCAGAGTTTAAAACAATTATAAAATAGAATTCAGGGTTTGGAGTGGAGAGAGCATAAAAAAATAATATTGAACAAAATATTAATATAAATAAACATAATTGATTATTTTTGGCTTTATTTCTACTCCCATATTAAAACATAATTTCTAGAGCAAAAATTTTAAAAAAATTTATCTTAAATTCATTTTTAATATTATTTAATCCAACATGCCTATCGCCGACAAACTTTATAATTTTAATTGCTTAAATTTAAAAAATTGAGTATATCAAAAATTGATATAAAAACAGGATAAGCAACATATTCCTATGATTCTTATTTTTCTTCCTCTCCGTTTAATGGCGATTTCCAGGATTTACCCAGGTAATTTTGTAGCAAGGTTTTTACAATCGGTGCCATAAACCCCTTTCGGTGGTTTTTACACCACCCGTCTAGAAGACGGTGATGCCTATTCTAGACCCAGAATACAGGGAACTTTATGCTATTAGTCGCCCAAAAGACGTTGAGGCTGAAAAAAGGATTTTTGGGGGATTCCTATCATATTATTAGCACAATTAAATTATCTACAAAAATGGTTGTAAAAAAAACAAAACTAGCTAATAACAATCACTGAAGATTCTAAAGAAAATATATACCCTTAGATAAAGGATATCTTTCGAGATATGTAGATTTTATCTAATCTCCATCCTTAGCTCTGCATCACGCATTATATAAAATTTGTATCTTCTTAAATATGTTTGAATATATATATATATATATTTTTTAAATATATAATTTTTTTAAAAGTTTTGAATATTCGAAAAATTGAATGCCAAGTTAGTGTTGTTGTTAAACGGCGGCTCGTTTTGAGCCGAAAACGGCTAATTCAATATTTTAGCCAGAAAAATACTGCCTAAGGCTTCGAGTTCGCGATAA